GACGCGAATAGTAGCGACGGAGCGGAGGACTGACGAGTTACAGCTATGAGACACTCCCTGGTAATTTATAAGTTTCTCATTGTTATTTTTGTCATTCCACTTTTTAGAATAGGAGTTCGGTCGTCAAAATGATCAAGGCTTATCAAGAATTGTGAGGATATAGTGACAAAAAACAATTAAAAGTCATTTTTATTTCATTAAGGACTAATACATTACAACTTTATAGTCCCTCCCTCTTTCTATCTCTCTTTCAATCTATATATCTATCAATCTATTATTTTTATCTGTTTATCTATTTATTTATCAACCCTATATATCACACGCACAACGTTAAGCAAGTCATACATAAGTCATACATACATACATAAGCATGCATGATTCAACAACATATCCGTGAACCATGTAGTCATCTCAGTCATTTTCAAATCAAATGTATTAGTTATAAATGGGAGAGAGAACTTTACTTCTTTCTGTAACGCCAACAGTTTAGTCTTTTAAATGCCATGAGAGAGAGAGAGAACTGTGGCAACCATTCCACGCTAACGAGCAATTCAGAAATAGATATTTGCACAGAAAAATACACTTCCCTCTCTACTCTGCTTCTCTCTTCCTTGGGACAAAAACTTAAGTCAAAAAAAGAAGAAGAAAAACAGTTTCAAGGAGGAATAAAAAGAAAGAAGTCGAAGGGCGCAGGCAATTCACGCGGCCAAACTGCCTGTCGATATCTATTTATTTTTCAAAAGTGCAGGATCATATTTAAGCGCGAAAAAGAATGTGAAGGAGAAACAAGAATTCTCGACCACCAAATAATTCTTCATCCAACAGGATTCTCAACTAAAATGAAAATCTACTCAAAGCAATTTGATTGCCGGTTTAGCGTTAGCTATCACTTTATCATTTTACCATTGTCTTTTAGTAATCAAAATAGCGATGGATACATAAGAAACACATAAATCGATATTTAGCAAATGAACACACACACAAACAAACACACACACACACACACACACACACACACACACACACAAACACTCATACGTACGCACGTATATGCAAACCTATACACAAGTGTTTAAGTACTGAAGAGCAGACAGGTAGGACACATAAACAGACCTAATAACCCACAGAGATCCTGATTACGAAAGTCGGCACTTACCCCCCCCCCCCCCCCCCCGCTAGCATGCGAGGAAGCGCAGTCATCGTTGGAGACCCACAGTGCTATGCGTCGGAAGGCTTCAGTGGATTCAGGAAAAACTTCTTGAAGGCAAAGCTCTGTGCCTCCGGCGTTGTAGTGTGTCGTCTTGTTGCCATCAGCCGGTCCAACTTCTGAACCATGCTGACCATGTCCGTGTTGTGGGCGTGGGCGGCTAGAGTTTGGCACAGGGACCGCACGAAAAAAGTTCCTTCGTTCGTCCTAAAAGCCTTGAAGCCTTCCGTCGACGCGTAGACGGTTAGCATGTCACGCGGGGCTTCGTCCTGTGCGGGAGGTATCTCGTCGCGGCCGACCGCGTTCTGTGACGTCCAAGGTAGATCGTCGCCTATAAGAGAGGAAAATTTTACGTTGAAAAAAACAGCACTTCTACCAAAACTCCAATTATACACAGATATTTTCCAAGTAAAAACAAAACTGCTGCCACAATATGAACAGAATTAAAATGTAAACTAACTCATTAAGAGTTCCTCATTACACGCAGTAAACACCGAAATGGTCTGTTATGTTTTTATTATCATGTTTGTGCTCACATACCCGAATATACTTACAGGTGCAAATTAAGTTAGTCAGTCTAATATTTCACTGAAACACTTCTTCATAAGAATGTTACCTAAACTTTGTCCGGAGAAGCTTTCAAAAGTGTTTCCGCGGCAGAAGTTGAAAAGGAAAACCTTGGGTTTTCCCTTCATGAGAGGACAAGCCTGATCTGTGAATATATTCCGTACCTGTGGAGATAAGAAAGGAAGATAGAGTATATTGTACTGTATAGTTTCATGTTAGTCGAGCAACACAACGCGAATAATTTACTCAAACAGTGGAATATGATCATACATACACACATACATCCGAACATATATATGTGTGTGTGTGTGTATATGTGTGTGTGTGTATATATATGTGTATGTATATATATATGAGTGAGTATATGTGTGTGTGTGTGTGCGCATATGTGTACATACACATACGCACACATCATATATATATATATATATATATATATATATATATATATATATATACATATATATACATCCACATATATATATATACATTCACACACACATATATATATACTCACACATTTACACACACACACATACATATATATATGTGTGTGTGTATAAGTATATATATGTACATATATGTATGAGTGTGCATTATATATATATATATATATATATATATGTTTGAGCCCATAACTATGAAGTCCTCACCGCAGAGACGTCCATCTTTCTCATATCAGATGTATAGAATATATCCCGGTTGATGCCATGACTCAACATGCAC